TTGGGAGAACCAAATGGTCGTGTTCAAAAATCGAAAAATGTCGCCATACGCTGTAAGTCTCATTATTCATGTACAAACTTGCGCTGGGTACAGTGTGTGTGTGTGTCTGTGTGTGGGTGGGTGAATGGGAGGGGTACGCAGACTCCTTCAAACTGCAGTAATATATGTACAAGAAAACGCCGAAAACTTTTTCCAGTCAATTCGCTGTTACTTGAGCATTCTTTAGTTTCGAATCGCTTAGGCAATGGTTACCATGTGTTCGTTTGAACAAACAGACAAAATTTTATACGGTCAGCTAAACGTTTTATTTTCCAAATGCCAGCAATGATGCTGCTTACTTAAATTTTTAAATCTGACAAAGAATAAGGGGGTGTGTCATTCGTCACTCGATCCCGAATATACAGGGCGAAAAATGTAAAGTAACGTGATTTAATGAGGGCGACTGTTCACTGAACGATAATAATATTGCAAATAAGTTAAAGCATAAGCATTTTTATATAAAATATGAATTAGAGTCCCCTCAGGTACGCACGGTCTGAGAACACCTAATAGTTTTTATCAAAAAGCGCCTGATTTCTTCTATTCGCATTTAGTGGCATGGCATTTTCCTTTAATCTTAAATTTGTAGGAATTTTCGTTACGAGCCTCCTCTTCCATAGAAGTTGACCATGGGCTGTATATTTGTTTGTCTCGTATGATTTTACTGACTGGGCAATACCTCACTCCCTCTCTGCTTATGCGGACATTTGTAAACTCGATGTTCTATATGTGCTTGAATACATCATGGAATATGGTTATTGGGGCACCTCATATTTGCTCGCACACACCCTCGGAGGTACTGAAACAGAGTTTGACTCCATAATATCAAGAAGTGTTTCAGCAGTTTTATTATACAAACGTGTACCTATGTCTGTACATTTAGTCACACTGTTACGTTTGTCAGCTTCTACATGATTTCCAAATCTTTAAATAATAATGATATACACTTATAAGTTTCATCCTCTTCTCGAAAGGTATGGTTTGTCATCGTTTAAATGCCCGTCTTCCTTTACTTTCATGATTGGGTTCTTTTTGGACCATTCTTTTCATGAAGTTGATGATGAGGTGCTGATCCCTGTTTCTCTATCACTAACCAGGAGTGTCTTATTTTAAAGATATAGTAAACAATTACAGCCATTTGCCAAGAGTAGCGTATAGTCTTTTGTTTCTTTCCAACAGTGGTACTCTTCTCGCAACCTCGAAAGGAAGAATATTGAGTGGACCTGATCAGAGTTTGAACTTGTGGGACCTATCGTTTCTGCCCTACTCTACTGACTGAGGAACACCGGTCTGAAACAGTATTTGGTCAATTCCTTGCTCAAGGGATTTCGTGAAAAAGTTGCATTAGAACGGAGTCGATCAGACATCTTAGACACTCTCCCAACATACCAGACGCAGAATAGCTGCAGGATGAAATGTAGTCCTGCATTCCTTGTAGGCGTCTACGGTTCTTTCACTTAGATTTCTAGTTCGAATAACTTTCACAGTTTTTTTTCTTCAAGAACGTCTCTTCAAGGCGAAAGACGATATCTCATCTTGGGGATACAGCTAACTCAGCAGTTGTCAACTTTTAGGCTATTGCACAATCTTTTGCCTAAAAATGTTACACTTCCTCACACCTTTAACTTAGCCGTTTGTTATTCTCCATGACAGATACGCGCACACTGGATCAAATTTATTGCCTTTATACCGAATGAGCAAAACAACTTGCCGTTCATTCTACAATCAGTCGAATGAACTACCATAAGGCGGTCATGAATAATGACTGTCAGAGGGTTTCCTTTTTGCATTAGTAGCCATGTACTAAGCTAAATGTTTTGAGCAGATGCC